CAAAAATTTTGCAAGTGAAATTTGAAAATTTTCTGATGCATAAAAATATTTTTAATCTTAAAATGAAAATTACTTTGCATGCGAAACGAAAAAAAAAGGCATGAGAAATCATTGCATTACAAACCTTAAGACTTACTAAAAAATCTTTTTTATTTTGCTTATGAATGTATTTTGATGTTTGCTGATAATGTGCCAAATTTCATTAATATTTGCTTACTAATTTAGAAATTATAGCATGAAAACTATAACAAGCACAAAATGGTTATGAGGTCGGTCCTAGTGACTGAGCCTGTGCTGAAAGAGCTAAGGTCAGCTGAAAATTTTTTCAATACACTTTGCATAAAGAGAATTGTATCTAGGGGTATACATCAATAGTACACTGATGTTTTTCGTACATGCTCCCAAAGCTGTTCCTTTTAATATATTTTGATCCACTCTCCTAATTGACCAAATGCTGTTGTGAAAGTTCTCTTTATGTTCTTGCTAGTCATATGTGTGTTTCTTGAAATCATCATGGGCTGAAGTAGTAGTCTTTCTGCTATTTTGGTCAATTGAGAAGCATTTTATAACTCCTAAACCCTTTATTCCAATGACTTGGTCAGCACCCAGTTTTGTTTGTATAATTCATTTAATCTGTTGTGAAAATGTTTTATTGTATATGACTTTTTGATATTCTGCATTCACAACAATATAATTAGAATTTGTGACATTTACATTTTATTTCCTAATGTTGATCAGTAATTCATAATTATTAAGTTTAGAACTGAAGCAAGTGTAAAGCTGTTTTCAACAGGTTTCAGGAAGAGTAAAAGTAATTGTTTTGTTTTTTAGATTAAGATAAGGTTTTTCCTTTTATATAAAAGATTATATCCATTTTGTTTTGGGCTAATCTTCTGAATCTCCATCAAGTTATGGAGTCACCCTATCTTAAATCAAAGAAAGTTTCATATTCAATTTTGAAGCATTTATTTATGGAGTCATCCTATACCCCTGATAATAGCAGTTATGATTACAGTGCACCTTGCAACTTGCTTCTGTGAAATTTATGGATCTTTTACTGTAGTGATCAAAATTATAAACTTATTTTCAGTAGGCTGTGAATTTTCTAAAGTAAACTTTGCTGTTAATTATTGTAATAATGTTTACAGGATTTTGACTTGTATAGTATAATAAGAGAATTTTATTGAGAAACTTAAGAAAATTCAGGAAAATATTTTGAGAATTTTAAACTTTTAGAGTAATTAGTTGTTTACTCCAGTAACAAAATCCTCTATAGATTTGCATGTGCATATAGCTTTTAGTGGAAAGTATTGGATGTTTTCTAAAAAAAGTTGGAAAAAGTGATTTTGATTAAAGACCAGATTTGTTGTTTATGTTTAAAAGTTAGGTGGATATTGATATTAATCTGTATTAAATGTAACTGTTGTTATCATTTATTTGAATCTAGAAATACGTAGTCTCTTGAAAGAGGGTACAAAATATCTCAATTATATCTAGAGTGTATTTTTGCATTCATGTAATGTTCAACATAATTTATCTTGTGTAATAATACCCATTTCTGTTCTTAGTTGTGTAATGTTCTGCTGATTCATTATAAAGGTTAAATATTTCACTTATAAGTGAATGTAAGATTGCCTTATAATAGTTTATAATATTATAAGAAAAATTTATGCCATGCATCATATTATTAGAATTAACTTATAAGTAACCAAATAGGTGTTATATTTACTTGTTTGTAATTAAACACTGGTGAAAACGTTTGCATTCTTAGGTGGTGACCAAGGTTTGTTGAACTTGTTCTTCCAAGATTGGGCAACAAAAGACATTTCTCAACATCTTTCTTTTCTCTACAACATGAATTCTAATGCTAGTTACACGTACCTACCTGCTTTTCAACAGTAAGTACAAGTGTATGGTTGTCATTACTTTGCTTGGAGCCATTATAATATTTTGACGTAACCTGTCATGTTGAAAATAGCAAGAAAATACTGGTACAGTTTACTTTTTATGAAATACTGTGTGTGTGTGTGTGTGTGTGCCTTTTACTCATAATTTTTTAAGAATTAAAGAGTATATTAGCATAATTAATTATAAATTTAATCAGAGCAGTCTACTACTTAGAAATAAACTAAAAACCAACCTGGAAATGAGTAAAGCTAATTAGATATACTTTTCTTACGTTCTTACAAGCAGAAACTAGAAGGAAGATTGCCATATTGATGGTATTTTTGTTTCACATTTTTTTATGCGAGTTATTAAGGATGAATTAATCAACACAGTCATGGACTCGTAACCAGTTTGTTACATGAAAAGTTTGAAAATTCAGTGTGGTATGTGGACTTCCAGTTGCAGTTTTTGGGTTAATGATGAGAAGAAATCTCACTTGATAATTTGATGAAATATATTAAATTTTAATAAATTTGGAATATGTATAATATGACCATTATTTGGTACATTAAACAAATGTGGTGTATGTTACAATATTAATTCTTTTTAGCTCGGTGACATTTTACCAGACACTTGAATTAGATTCATAAAATTAATAGCTAAGAAATGAAACTATATCTTCAAACAGAAAGCATGGTAATCACTGAATTCTTTTGAATCTCTGTGAGACTATTTTTTTGTAAATTTATAATGAAATAAAACCCACTACATGACACAGTTGTATACTAATCAATTACACAACCCACTTATAACCACCATCTGGAGGCCAAGATTCACAGATCTTGTTACAGAGATGAGAACTTGCTGATTTGATGGTTTCCGGTATTTTCCTTTAGACACACTACTGGCCATTCATGAAATTGATGCAAATCATCTGAGAAAATAATTGGAATATTGTATATGTATGGGGGAGGGGGTTGAGTTGGAGGCTGAAAGTACAGTTCTCCTGCATATGCTACTTAAAACATTTGTTACAAGTTCTGGAAGTTAAACAGTAGAGTCTAGATGTCTGCTCTACCAGTGGTAGCCTTCCTAAATTAGGTTTGGCTCTAATTGATAGGTGAACACCTTATTAGAACTAGCACATGCAGGAAGAAAGTTAATATTTGTACTCATCAAGTACAGATTACTATTGGAGGGAAGGACAAAAAAATCTGAAATAAGATGTCAATTTGAATTTTTGTATTTCTTAGTCTAAAACAAGTAAGTAAAATATCCACCTGAACAAAATTCTAAATCTTAACATACTTTTATAGCTTTATTTTGTGGGTCATTTGCCCTTGTAAAAAAACTTGAGATACCAGGCTAGGAAAGGTTAATGTGTTTCTTCTGAGGAAAATAAATTAGTGGTTAGTAGATGTTTGTGTTAGATATTATCATTTCTACCTTCTTTGAAACACCCTTAATTTCCCAATTTTATAGCTTAGGTATTTTAAGAGTAGTAAAGGAATTTATGCTTAATGTTTTTAATATACTATTTATAAAGTTTACAAGTAAAAAGTAGGTTTTATCTACCCACTTGAAGAATATGACAGTAAACCCAAATTTGGAGAGCAAAAATAAAAGAATATTTTGTATTTCGTAACATATTATAAGTTTAATTTTGAACATAGAAATAGTACATGATGATTTGAAATATTCACTTAGTGTTTTTCATCTTAGGTTTGGTAAGGATGTTAAAATTGTCCATTTTCTCGGAGAACTAAAGCCTTGGAAGTATATAGTTAGTGAAGGAAAACTTATGAAACCAAGTGAAAGCCAACATTCAGAAGATCATCTTCAGTATTGGTGGGATCTTTACATGTCCCATGTGGAACCTCATCTTCAATTTTATCAAGTAATGTGTATATATAAACTCCATATCTGTCTTTATGATACCAACTGTGCATCTTATGCTTACTAGTGCAAAAAATAATGATTAATGTATTCAAACCCCTATTAAAATATATTATAGTACTGTACTATAGTAAATTTGTACATAATATTTGAGTTTATAATACAGTAAGTGAAGCCCAACTTGTAGCCTTCAGGTAGCATCTGGTGACGACTGAGTTTGTCAAGTTTGCACACTGATTATAAATCATATATTAACACTTATTATGGGTACTTTAAGGTTTCTATAGTAGTGATGTTGTGGGTAATATAAGGTTGCTGTAGAGTGTAGAGTACTGTAAGAGAACTGGGTACTTTAAGGTTTCTATAGTAGTGATGTTGTGGGTAATATAAGGTTGCTGTAGAGTGTAGAGTACTGTAAGAGAACTGGGTACTTTAAGGTTAATGCAGTGATACTATTGTAGATACTATAAGATTACCATAGAAGCACTATTATGGATGCTGTAAAGTTTGTATAGTAGTACTGTTGTGGATGTTATAAGATTACTTTAGAAGCACTATTATGGGTACCATAAAGTCTATAGTAGAACTGTTGTGGATGTTGTAAGATTACTTTAGAAGCACTATTATGGGTACCATAAAGTCTCTATAGTAGTACTGTTGTGGATGCTACAAGGTTACTGTAGAAGCACTGACTTGGAACATGTGTTGATATGTGTACTTTTGTTTTGTAATTTAGACCACAATCATCTCATTAACAAAAGAAAATATCTCATACCTTAGCTTGGATTTATCAGCACTTTTTTTATATTCTTTTGTTAGTGGGTCTTCCCAGTGAATGTCAGATAGACAACTGCTTTGTAAGCAGATCCATTGTTTTTCTTTTCAGCTACCATGTGCTCTACTGTGTTGTTTAGATCAAGTGAAAATTGACAACATGTGTAAAGTGATCTGTGGAGTATCATTTGCTAACTCTCATATCATATGAATACTTTACAAATTATATTATTATTGGAGTTGACATTAAGCTTACTGGGATACTTGAACAGCATTTCTTACTTTGTCTGAAGGGCACAGTCACTTCTCCTAAGTTTTTGAACAGGGCATGACCCAAGGAAACTTCTCTTTCCTACTGTTGATGAATTTCCTTTTATGGCTAGCTTCATATTTCAGCTTTGTAGCTTCTGAATTTGCTGAAGTTTGGGGTTTTGTTTTTTCCCTGGCATTTGCCCAGGTTTTAGGGGTGTCAAAAAAGACAGTCAACATCCTCTTGCTAATAAGCTAGATAGCTTGATATTAGTTAGCTAGCTCACCTCGTCTCCAGGCCAAATTACTGTTCATCATTCACAAAATGGAAAATGATTTTAAATAAATGATGGTGAAGCACAGAATGGGTTGTTCATACTAGTTAAATAGTATAATAATTATGAGTTAGGTTATGTGCTGGTAGCTAGTTAAATATTACGTCATATCAATTTTACCTTTGCTCGTATGACGAAATTCTTCGCATATTCCTGTCATATTAATTTCACTGGAGTCCACCTGTCAGTCAGCCTGCTGTTTGCCAACCATAGGAATGCTGGAAATGTTTGTGTGCCAGGCATCCTTGTGGTTGGGGGAACAGCAGTGGGTTTGGGTGGGCTTTTGAAAGTGTTGTTTAATTACTTTTATCATAATAAATACACAATACACCTCTAAAATACAAAAAAAAATAAGCACTTACCTGACTCTTAACCCTACTTTTTTATACTAATGGTACACAAGATAATTTTAATTTAATAAAATATTGCAACAAAGAACATATAATAATACCATGCAAAAAGCAGACAATGTCCCATAACTATCACAATTTTTCTTGCTTTCTATCTCTGTAACAAGAACTGTTAAAACTTCATCAAAGCTACTCAATATTGTTCCCGTGGGAAAAATATAATTTTCTCAGAAAGCAACTTGCAAATCTGTGTACAGAAAACAATGTAATATAATACATCATATGATAGATGAAAACCTTGGCTTGATATTGGTTATAACTAATATATACTTATATGATGAACATAAGTACACTTTTAAAAAAATAAGATGTAACAATTACAAAGAAAACTTAATCTATGTTATGTTACTTAGAAATGAAACCTTACTTGAATTACCTATTTTATTACTTCACACAACTTAATCAGTGTAACAGTTGTTGATGATTTTTTTGTTCTTTATATGTACAGTACAGCATCAGAAAAAATCACAGAATTATCAGAGTAATTAATGGGTCTTATCTGAGGAACATTATGACAGACGTTATGAAATATCAAATATAATTGCACAACACCAAACTCAGCTCATATCAGGACAGCAGATGAACATTTTTACAGATTACATGGGTGAACTAAGATAAATCCGAAAATAGAGTAAGGGGATAAATGGTACGTTCATTAATTAAAGTTTTTGAAGTTTTTATTTTTCCATAGATTGCTGAAAGTTCCTATTTATTATTCCCATGATGAGTTGTGTGTTGCATATCCTTGGAGGTTATTTTGCTATTTTATTTTTCATATTTATATAACAAAAAACAAATGTTGATGCAGTGTTGCCTTTGATGAACTTAAAGCAAAGCATTTGTAAGTAAAATACAAAGAAATTACTTGTTTGGGCATATCTGTTTCATGCTTTACCTTTATTTTTTCTAATGTATGTCGAAACATGATTAACAGTTTAAAAATTATGATGTCATTTGAAATAAAGTTTGACTGTTATTTTGTGAAATGAAGTTCTTATGAAAGTGTACTTTCCAAGCAACAAGAAAAATATTATATTTTACACATTTAGATACAAGGTAACATTTTCAGAGGTGTATAAAACATTGGGCAGAGGCTTAAATGAACAAAGAAAAACTTGTTGTTTATGCAGGTATTTTTTCATGGTGAGTGAACTACTATCTCTCATTGGTTATTATGAGCTAACATGTTCAACAAACTTATAAAAAAACCGTGTGATTAGTACAGTCTTAATATAAAATAGATCAGTTTCTATGTTCTTCCCTCAAATTTTTTATCTTGTACTTTAGACAACAGAATGAGCAAGGTATCTTTGACTATAGCAGTTTTTATATGTGTGGCTTTATAATATCTATATATAATGCATACTTAGGAGAAATGAGGCATCAGTTTTTGTTTCCCAACAAAATTAATGTTAATATTCACATTTTTGTTTTGTCAGGATGCACCCTATCATGAACTTGCTAAGGTAAGACTCGAGTCTCCTGAGCCAGTAGAAACAAGTGTCTCTCAAGATCAACCAGTAGCTCCTGGGTTCATTTCTCGACAGGAGGCATGGGAAAAAGGCGAGATAGATTACTTGGGTGTTGATTCCTTTGAAAATATTCGTCGAAAACTGGACAGTAAAATCAATGGCACAACAGAATGACTAAAGTAGTAAGCTTTCATATACTGAAGTGAAATGGTGACATTTGAAAAGAATGTGCCATCATCTTGATGGAGAATTGGGTGCTTTGAAATTGTTTATTAGCACTGTCCTGAGGCATCTGACTGAATCATTAACAATAGATACATTAATATTCTGATAATATTAATGTTTGAGAAAACTGTTTTAATATAACCATTTAGTGGTATTAATGCTAACTATGTTTTACATCTTTAAATTTTGCTTTCCCTCCTATGATTGATGAGACTATGATTTTGAAAATGAACAAAGACATTGAGAATATAAAGATTCTTGTTAAAGCTTCAAAGGAAGCTAGTTAGACTTAATGTGTACTTCAGTCTTAGAATATAATTGTATTTCTGTAAAAATTATAAATTATATTTGTAACAGAATTTCATGTTTAAGTCTTGGAGTTAGAACAAAGCCTGTTTAAATGCAGCATTGTTAGCTAAGTACAATTAACAAGTGTTATATCTAGTGCAGTTACAACTTGATTTGTTAGTATTACTGAAATGAGCACATTACTCTCTTGTGTAATGTTCTTTAAGTAGAACTTTCCACTACATCCAACTTCCATTGCCCATACGACATAATAAAACCTTCTGTCCAACCACTTGAGCACAAGCTACCTTGATGTTTAGTTTGTAGATACCCTAGTACCATGCAAGATTTTTATGTGGTGTTTTTGTTTCGTATCATTAACAGATTTGGTATCTAATGAACACTGATATTAAAATGCCTGCAAAACTACAAATATTAATATCAAAATTATATGAACTTAATCTCAAAAGCCATTCTCCTGGGTACGATATGAAGTTATTATGACAAATTGATAAAAAAACAACTTTGTAGCTACATTTTTCAGTATAAAAGCATGTCATTGCTTTTCAATGTGGCGGTTAACAACTTTGGAGTTATATTTTTCAATAGAGATCTTCTGAAATGATAAGCTGTATGAAGTCCACAATAGTTGTTAATTAGATTAACTAACTTCTGATATGAACCATATGCTTAATTTCAATAATCTGCTAAAGCAGTACAGAATAGATTTTTGTCTTATATTTATATATACACGTTTTTTGTTAGTTATTAACTTTTTTTTTCAAGAATTAATCATCATTTCATAGATAAACCACTAAGTTTTTGTAGTATGCTATGGGAACACCAAGCAATCTTTTCATATGGTTTCTGACTTCATAACTCCTGTGTCAGATTTTACTATTCCATAAGAATAATTGAGAAGTACCTGGTAATTATGATCTTACTTTCTTATGGTGACAAGATTTATCCTCTTCCTTGATCCATTCTAAATTAAATCTAAAAAAAATCTGTCAGTGAAATTCATGTATCATTGTTTTGTTCAAATTTTTTCTTATTTTTTGGTATCCAGTTACTGGTTTCTAATTTTCTATTTTCATTGAAACTCACTTGAAGAGCTAGTATACATCATATAGCTTTCTATTCTACCCTGTGGGTGAGAAATGTTTGGACTTACAATGTTACATTTCAAGGTTTGATTCTCTTAAGTAGACGGAGTGGAGATAGCTCCTTATGTAGCTTTGCACTAAAACAACAAATCCTATTCCACAAAGATAAAAGGCAAAACTTGATATTTTATAAATTACAGACCTAGTGATAAGAATTTCCAGAGTTTTTTAATGTTTTGTTTATCAACACTTGTACCACTTTTTTTTTAACTGATGTAGATTAGAAAAAGGGGCCATATTGGAAAGCAATATTGTTTTAAAAAATATTGTATTGACTTAGGAATAAAATATTAAGTCTTTATGGCTACTTTTAATGATTCAAGGAATGTTGACTTACATTGCCTCAAGAAGTATGTTAGGGAATTTATTTTGTATAACTACATTCAGTGAGCACATACATCTGACTTTCATTTATATAGTATTTGAACTTAATTGCCCCCATTGAATATTTTTTGTGACTCTTTTGCTTAAAACCTATTGACTGGAAGACTAAGCAGTTGAGCTGTAAAATAAAATAAAGTTAAGAGTAACTTGTATCATTTCGAAGAGAGAGAATATTTTGTGTTAAAATCACTAAACAATTTTTTTATTTAGGGTGGTGCGATAGGTTATAGTTTCAGCTTCAAAGTTGTGGTCCTGTTGACTAGCTGTTTTCCCTCTAACGAGTCAGTTCAAAATTAGGGACTGGTAGCACAGATAGCCTACGTGTAGCTTTGTGTGAATATTTGTGAAGTAAATTTGCATCAGAATCTTGCAAAGTATGATACAATCATAATATTTGGCCCACTCTAGGTTCTTAAGCCTAGAGTGAAAAATGATATGGACCCAAGCTTACTGAACCTCCATTCGACTGTATAATGTAATAATCCATAATGGTTAGTTAATAATATTCTGTTTGGATTCCATTGCTTTAAAATAGCAAATAAGTAATTAATTAAATTAGAATTTAGTAGAAAATAATAATTTCATGAAAGAGTGCCTGTTTCATTGATTCTAAGATAAATCTCCAAATGTTGTTGAATATCAAATGTACTAGGTCCACCAACATGAGATGTGTGGCATTTTAAAGTGACATCTTGGGAAAAACCCAATGCGAGTTAGATATAAAATTTTTATTGTACAAACACTACCAGCTTAGATATATTACACTGTGGGCATCCAATATTGCTATTCTGGTGAACAATCAGTATTGTCTTTGCAGTGTTGCTCACAGCTATTGCACATGGGTATATATTACACAAAGACCCATCTTTGGGAGAATATCAACTATGTCTCTTTTTTCCAAGTTTTGACATGCAACATGAAGCCAAAGAAAAGAGGCAAAATGGTTTGAAGGCCATGCTGATTTATTTCCTTAGATATGCCTTTTTCTTGAGTCTTTAATGCTGTTAAGATGAGTAAGTTGCATGTTCAACATATCAGCAGTCTTGATATTTTTTTCCGGTGCATTGATTTTCAATGTAAGGCCCCTCAAGTAACATCCAAATAAGAACTAGCAGAGACTTTGGAATGGAAACTTTTCAACAACAGAGTGGAAGATCCATTAAACCTTGGAAAATCACCAAACAAATTCTTACAAATCACTGCTGCAACTCATGAATATCCCTCAAAAGTCAAGAAACGAGCATCAGAGATAGCCTCTCCAGGAGTGTCCTTTAACAATATCTATATATCTACCTTTCTTGAGACATTGTAAGTCTCATATGTAAGCATGTAGTTTCTTCAGTATTGTTGAGTGAACCTTTGGTGAGGAACCATGCATACCAAGATAAGACATTTATTTAATGAATGGGTTCAAAAAGTTAGTAATTTTATAACTTTTGAAGAGTCTCTGAATGGATATTATAGTTCTTTTATGTAATTGATTATCTTAACCTTACTCCATGTTCTGCTGTCTCATAGCTTTTTGTTAATGGTTATCGAGACAAGATAGGCATACTTTATGGCATTTCACCTCATTTGCAACCATATACTCTCCTCTTAGTTTAGCCATGAGATTCTATTATCATGCTCTATAGCAGCAACAGATAAATGGTAATTAAGTCCTAATGTTCATGCACAGATGTGGTTGTATTCATTATTGTTTGTGTTGCAGAAAAGTCAGACTTCTTTACCTTCCTCTACATTAAATGATGACATTATACCCATTGCTTGTCCTGAAGTACTTAATATATCTGGAACAAAATCTTTTTATATGTTTGTTCACTTTGGATTTATTCTTATGCCTTCTAATACCTTGCACAGTTCTGTAAAAATGTCATCCTCAATTTGCTGCCACCATGCAAGTGGCCCATTCGAATGTTGTCAGCAGATGTGGCAATCTCTTCAATTATTTTCGCAAGTCCTGTGACAATGTATATTTGCCTGCCCATTTGTTAGGTCTAGAGTAAGAAAGTAAATACTTAATTGTGTGGTATATAGAACAACTTCTGAGTCAACTTTAGTATGAAATTGGCCATATTGAATAAAACAGCCAAATGGAGGTCTGCTCAGCTTAGCTCTATATCAGATTTTAATCTAGATATTGGGACCTTATTTTAAGCCAGTGGCATATTGATATCACATTTTGAAGATTTTGACATTAATCTACTCCACTAACCAACATACTCTGTCTACACACTTTATTGAACTTAAATTTGCTTCTAGATTTTTCAACCCTGTGTTGGTAATTCATACTTTGGTAATATTTTTACGGGTTTTCATTTTTGAGATGTTATTTTCCTGTTGCCATATATTGATCTTGTTTCTGTCAATATGAAAATAAATTTGCAGTCTAAGTTATTAGATCTTTAAAATTTATATATTTTCCTTTTACTTTTATCACTAATTTGCTTATTTTAACTGTGTAACCTAATTAATATACTTTAATGTGTGTGTGTGTTTTAGTATTATGTCACAAATATGACAGTACTATTTCCATTTTTAGTTGTCGCATGCTATTGATATTTGTTACAGAAATATTATGTAAAAATTATTTAAAATGAAGTTTTAGAGTCTCAAATGTTTAGGATTTATTAAAATCAAAAAACCAGAACCATTTAAACCATTTCTTGGTGTATAATTATTGTGTAGGACAGCTATTTTATGTAGTTGCAGATGTTTATAATTCTGGATTTTACTTCAGATTGATTTTGATTAAGGATGGCATTACTGCTCATCCTCATGATATTTTTTCTGTGTAATGTTTAGTATTTAAACATCGTGTTGGGTCAAACCGCTCCACGTAAGGAGGATTTGTATATGTTTGCTAACTAAACTAAATGATTATAGATTGTTTTAGTTAGTGAATTATGACATCTAGTTACAATGTGTATGGTATTACACTGTGATAAAACTGCTAATAATTTGAATTGAATCATTTGTTATTAATTTTAAGGCTTATGTGACCAGAATCATTATTAATTATTTTTTGCATCCAGTTAGTTAATGTAAAACTAAAAAAGTTTGAGCATTTTTTACAGATAGAGCGTGAATGTTGATCTTTCAAAAAAATATATTGCTGTAAATTTTACTTAGTCTAATATTGTATTTTTTAAGCTCTCCTGTATTTGGAGCAAGACCAAAACTTCTTTATTTTCCACTGTGTATCTCAAGAAATGGATATAAATCGTATGTTTTCTAATGTTACTATATTCATAAGATTACACAGTAATTAATTCTATTTTACTTAGAAGTTTAAAAAAGCTTTTTTTTTTAAATGTTAGCATATATATATTATGTGTTAGAGTTTTATTGACAGATAATTTTCTGAAAATTGAGTATAGGCCATTTACAAATAAGTGTGTAATGCATGTATTAGGGCATGGATTGTCATTCTTTTACACTTCAAGGTCCACGTAGTTATTTGATGCAGTTGTAAAGGTCCACATATGCAGTTGATGATTCGTTGGTTTAGAGCAGTTACAGTTGTCCTGGCTTGCTATGGCCCATAACTGCATGTATCTCAGCCCACCTGTTGAGAATCAGTGTAGTTGGGCACTTTAAGTTGTATGTTTCTTCTTTGGATCATTCCCAGTTTATAAATATCTTTTTAATGCATTTTTTACATATTCTCTCTTATATATATTCACTTTATATTGTTAATATAAAACTATATTTTTTGTTAGAGTTTTACATTTAAGAAATAGTGCTCACTTACATGTTTGAGTTTGCAGAATTGATTTTCATGTTAATAATACCTCCTCTTAGTGTGCATTGTAAAGCTTAGAATTTGTAAGTGGTGAAAATTGGACGATTTAATGTAGCCATTAACTAAATGTATGAAGTCCAGCTATTTTAATGTGCCTTCAGTGCATAGGGAACCAAAAGTTATAAATATTAACTGTGGACAATGTATTGCCTGTTTGATATGTAGTATGTCATCAAAACTGATTTATGAGTATATTATAGTGATATGTTGAACAAAAAAATGTAATATTCTTTCATTAGTAACTTATAGATTTTGTTTTCATATAGTAGTAGACACCTAGAGCTTGAAGAAAAGTTATTTTGTTAGTATGTAACAAAATGAAAGCTGTCTGTTATATTACTATGGATATGAGCATTAAAGTTGCATATAACAGTTGTGTCCATAACAATATTAATTCAAGCAGAAATGTAATTATTTATGAGCTAAAGAATGTATGTAACTCGTGTGTTACAATAAAAAATTTACAGCAATTTCTTTAGGAAGTGGGGAAAATGTTTTATTATTTTATTTACATAAAAAAAACTAATCTAACCTATATAAAAGTCAGTGTGTGCGTGTCATGTTGTGCTTGATTTCTCAAAATAGGAGGAGTTATAAAAGCCAAAATGCATTTATCCAGATTGAATAATTTGATTACTGTTGGCCCATTACAATTTTAGTGAAGGGACCATGAGGGGGAGGGTTCTGTGAAACCTTATAAGTGTAGTGAGTGATGGTATAATAATCAGAGCCAACTGCATAAATTGTATTATGAAAGTTAAAATATTGATTCAATTTTAAGCTTAAATCATTTCTGAATTAAGCTATTTTTGTTATATCACCAACGTTTTTAAGAAAAACAAACCTCTTTAATCAATGGATACTCTAAATTATGAAATCAACAAATATTTTTCCAGTTTTGTTGTA